GGATGGCGCTAGCTCTTCAGCTTGGAAACAGAGATGAGCACCGCCCCCTAGAGTTGCATTCAACTAGCTCTTGAGCAAGGGAAACCTTTACCTTTATTTCTCTCTTAGCAATTAACTATACCTAGAGATAGCCATCATTTCTCCCATATTATGTACAAGGAAGATAGATTCAGATGGGTAGCCGTGTTGGTTTGAAGCAACAGAACGATGTTTGAGTCCAGTGTTACCTTTAAGACCAACAAAGTTTTGTTCTGGGTATCAGCTTTCGTGTGCATGCACACTTCCTCAAATACCTGAAGAACTCTGCATGCAGACGAAAGCTTATACCCAGAATAAAACTTTGATGGTCTTAAAAGCACTAGTCTCAAACTTTGTTATGTACAAGGAAGGTCACAGTTGTGTGGGCAATTTGCTCTGACCCAGATAAATAACTGAGAGACCTTTGTACAAGCTAGTAAAGGTAAAGGTTTCCCTTGTTCAAAAGCCAGTCGAATCCAAGGGCGATTTCTCACTAAAGCTGCCTTGCAGCGCAGCCGAAGTGGTACCTATTTATCTACTTGCAATTTCTTGCTTTTGAACTGCTAGGTTGGCAGGAGCTGGGACCAGAAACGGGAGCTCACTCTGTCATGTGGCACTCGGGTCTCAAACAAAGCTACCAATAGCTAATTTGTGTTAAGTCAACAAAAATACATATAGTGGTATAGGAATAAGGGTGATCTTTTGTAGCAGTGTATAATTTTCCACAGCCATTAGTTTAAGGATAATCTCAGGTAGTTTTCAATCGTCAATGTGGAAAAAAACCAGTCCTCTCACCAAATGCTGAGATACTTTGACACTGTCAACAGAATCTAAAGCTACTGGCTTTACTTTCAATCCTCTGTGTATCATGGAAACAACAGCCACAATGTTAATTTCAGGTAAGGAGATCATTTCATGCAAGAGAAACAAAATTGTGTCTAAAATTCACTACAAATATGTGTGTTTTAAGCTCACTATTTAGGACAGGCTTAAAGCATGTTTAACTCTAATGTAAGAATCCAGAAGTAAACTGGATGTCTGATGTCCTGCCTTTTATCTCTTGGCAATTAGGCACGCCTAAGGTTAGCGAATGTTTCTCCCATGTTTTTTTAAAAGAATGGTCACAGTTAACTGTGGGCAATTTACTCCAGATTTCTGGATTCTTACATTTGTATGAATTACTTTCATGCAGACTCACCTTATTGTTATTTCACTAGCAATTCGAATTACTTTTGGCTGGTTTCCCAAGTCATTTTCACGCCCACTTAAAGTATCCACCAAAAACATTCGACGTGTTAAGAACCAACTATTCATATTACTGCCTTTGGGGGGAAAAAGTGTGGAAGTACAAGTTTTATTTATTTATTCATCTAATTTGTATCCCCCCCTCCCCACCAAGGCAGGCTCAGGGCGGCTCACATAAAATATAAAACAGTTAAAACAGAAATTAGATAAAAACAGACCAATACAATTATAAATATTATAAGACATAAAATACGAAGTGCTAGTTTATGTCAGATAGTGGGCTTAGCAGCATCCTCAGGCACAGGACCTCCGTCTTTGTCGGATTCAATTTCAGTCGACTCAGTTTAAGCCAACCAGCCACAGCTTTCAACACCAGATCCAGATCTTCCGGGTAAGAGCCAGACTGGCCGCCCAACAACAGATAAGAGCTGGGTGTCATCCGCATATTGGTGACACCCCGGCCCATGCCTCCGGGCAATCTGGGCAAGAGGGCGCATATAGATGTTAAATAACATCGGGGAAAGTTAAAATAAATCCTTTCATATAGACTATTAGAAGCAGACCCAAAAATAAGGAGATGCATATATTTTTTTCCAACTGGAGATACAGACCCTACAATAGTTCAAGGAAAATATGAGAGCAACACAATATTCTCACCTCGGTTTACAAACATTTCATTATACTGAAGATTTAAGTTTAAAACTGGCACTGCCCAAAGGTACGGCTGTCCATCTTCTTCATCAATATATTCAAGAAACACGTCATAAAACACTGGATCTGAATAGTCCTTTAAAATTCTTGAAACCGAAATTGTGCACTGTATAAAAAAACAAAAAATCAAGTAAAAATGAAACTGAATACAAAATGCCACTTGAATATTTCAATAACCCTTGTTAAATACTTGGAGGTTACAAATTCTTTTCTTGAAATTGACAATAAGTGTTTTCCTTTCAAAACACTGAAAGGCAACTAAGCTGTTTTAATTTCAAAAGTGGGTGTAACGAGGAGGGAGGGGGAGTGCCCCCCTGTGGCGTCCTCTTATTTGGGAGGACTGGTTTTCACTTTATATGTGTTCTTTGCTTTTGTAAACTGGGTAGTTTCTGCTGCCACCAGGAATTTAAGGAATTCCAAACTTTCTCTCCTTTGCTGCTGGTAATGTGACCCAGAGTCTGTAACTGTTTGGGAATAAGGGACTTGTAAATATGTCTGGCAAATGTATCACACACACAGTCCTTTGTTTTAACACTCAGATCCAGCACTAAAGGAATCTCTCTTTCCTATAGGCAGCCACACAAGCTAAGCTCTTAGTAATTTTGACTTCCTTCCAGCTCTTTAGAGTCTCACTTTTGAAGACATATACACTGCACTCTTTAAGATCCCACACAGAACTAACAGAACACTCACTGACTGAACTCACTAACTGAACAATTCCAACTGATTTTTCTAACAGACTTTTCTATATCTGACTGACTGACACCCACACAGGAGCCCCCAGAACCACTCGTCCCCCACTCTGTCATCCTCCAATCACACCCCACTTGTCTCTCTCAATCACTCTACTCTGCATTCACTGCACTGCAACCAAACATTTAAAGAGACACACACTCCCCAAAACAAGGAATCATTACACCCCCTGACAAGCCCTCTCATAGGAGGAGGAAAGGCTGAGTTCCTTTCTGCCTAGTTTTCGGTCCCAGAAATGAGAGGCAGCCCCATTTGGTCTTCTTTTTCAGGAGAAGTTGGCCTTTCTGAAGAATAAATTGGAAGTATGCAATAGTAAATAGTTAACTAAAGAATGTCCAATGTTACATAAATATGTGTATTGTAACTAATATGACTATGGAATGAAGAATTTAGGAAACTAAATGGAATTACATGTAACGGGTGGTACAAGACAATATGATTTCAGAATAGGAAGTAATCCTTGTTTAGTAATTAGGTAAAATTGGAGTTAATGGATAAGCCGGATAATACTTTCTATTAATAAAGGGGTGAATAATATAATAGACTGTAGGAAAATTAAGATTAATATTTTGTATTATTGTTCTCTGTAGAAATTAATAAACTATGCATTAAAAACACTGAAAGAATAAGATGTGAAATTATGTTAAGTGTTTTAAGACATCTGAAAATATGTGTTTCTTGTTTTAAAAACTACATACCTTCAAAACTTGTGTTACACTGTTCTGTGATTTTATCTCCCTCCATTAGAGGTATACCTATCTCACTTCACATAGCCAGCAGAGCATGGAAAATAATTTCACATAGGCGAGGCTGGTACTCAGCTTAAATACTGCTGTATTCCCTTTCTCTCTATTAGAAATGTATTTTGGATGTATCTAACATGTAGATATCTGCTTTTTTCAGATTTCTCTGATCCCAGTCCTATCACATTGCTCTTTTGATGTCTCATCTTACATTTGATATTTAAAGTTATGCTTACTTTTTGTTGATAAGTTGTCCCAAAAATGTAAGCAGCATTCAGTTTCATCAGTGTGTCAGGACAAAGCTGCATTAAATAAAGAATGACACATTTGGAATTTAGAATAAAAAATCCTTGCATCATTTTTAACAAGTTATGAATTATTTTTAAAAATGAGTACAGAATAAAAATTATAGTAGTTGTACTCTGAAAATAAATTGATTGATGTAAGTAAATGAACAAAGCAAAGAATCAAATCATCAAAACAAAATGATCAAGACTTGAGTTCTGCCTGTGGCTCTAATATACTCTCTAAGCCCCATACCAACAAGGACTGACCATTCACTTCAGTGTCATGGAAAACTCATATATTCACAGAAAATCTCCTAGGCTGCTGTTTGCCTGTGACATGGAATCTTGTTAACAGGCATGTTTGCATGCTCCCTGTCTCATCTCTTCATGCGCAGAGCATGACTGAAGATTTCCTTTTTTGAGAATCTTCAGTCTAACTGCAATTTGTCATCTCATTTGAATGCAGGCACCTACTTACAGGCCCAGGTCTCCTCTGTAGCATGTAGTGCCTTTCATCATCTTCAACTGATATGCCAGCTATTCCTCAAAAAGTGTGATCTGGCCATGGTGACCCATGCTCTAATTACATCCAGGTTAGATCACTATAATGAGCTTTATATGTGGGGCTGCCCTTGAAAAAAGTCTAGAAACTTCAGCTTGCCCAAAATGCAGCAGCCAGGCTACTGTCGGGGGCAGGGCACAGGGATGGCATCACCGTGGTGCTGAAAAGATCTGCACTGGGTGCCCATTTGTTTCTGGCCCTGGCAAACAGATCTTTTTCAGTAGTAGTACTTTGTTTCTATAATGTCCTTCCCCTTGAAGCTTGCCTGGGGGCTATATTGCTCTCTTTTAAGCACCAGGCCAAAAAAAACACATTTGTTCACCCAGACTTTTAATTAAAGGGTTGATTTTTTAATAAATTTTTAATCTGGAAACTCAATTTAACCAGTCAGGGGTCTGTTTGTAAAGTCTATGTTTTTATGTTGGGCTGGGTTTTTAATGCTAGATTTTAATTAATAAATTTTAATGGTTTGTTGTTCTGTAAGATGCCTTGGGCAAGTTCATGGAGAGATGAGACAAACTTTTTCTAAATAAAATAAATACTTACATAGGGAAGATGAAGAATTTTAATTGGGCTAAACTGAACACACACTTTCCAAAGTGAATGGATATACAGAATTAAAAGTGATAGTTACGTAGTAGTGGACACCCAGAAAATAAAAACCAACATAATTGATACACTGCCACAGACCTGTTTTCAAGCATCCATTACTAAATATTGCCTTCACTTATCACCATACTGCCCCCCCGATTACATAAAGAACAGAGTTCATAAAGAACAGAGTGTACAACTATATGTATCTCCCAAGGCAAAACAAGAAACTTGGACACTATATAAGTTTAGAACAAAAGGAATGGGATTACACCCAGAAAATAAAAACCAACATAATTCATACACTGCCATAGACCTGTTTTCAAGCATCCAGCTGAATCTCCATTACTAAATATTGCCTTCACTGATCACCATACTGCCCCCCGCCCCCGATTACATAAAGAAAAGAGTTCAGGAAATTAATATATATATCCCAAGGCAAAACAAGAAACTTGGACACTATATAAGTTTAGAACAAAAGGAATGGGATTGCAAGGGGCAAGTGGACTGATTTGACTTCGGTGAAAGATAAGGCTTTAAAGAGGGAAAGGAATTGTCTGGAGAAAGGAGAAGACCACCTGAAAGCACTGAAAGGGACAAAAGAACTAAAGTTGAGTTGTCCATAATTGGTGCTTTGAAAAGGGGTTTTTTTGAGACACAAAAGGTAACATTTCCAAAATTAATGCTAAGGTGCTAAGTTTGTCCCGTTCTTCATTCACCATATTAACCTATATATAAATTAGACAAATTGCTTGCATGTTGCATTACAGACAAAAGCTTACCTGTAAAACACCACCTTCTAGATACTGCCATTTAAGAAAATTTCCCCCTGCATCATAAGAAGCTGCAACAAATTTCAATTTTATGTTCTGTCAACAAAAGATTAAAGCACTTTAAAGAACTGGAACCTTTATATCTTACACTCAGTGCTCCCCTTCAGTTTTGTAAAACAGACTTACGAAAGCGTAATGAAGAATAAAGAACAGATTATGCCATTTAGTGTTTATTTATATCACACACAAAAAGCATCATGAAGATGTGCAAATGTAAGTGTGCTATTAACACTGTGGCTGGGAATGATAACCACATTTTAACACAAAGTTTATCAATTAAATCGAAGTAAAATCCTGTTTAACTGAGCAGGACCCCATGTGGATTGCAAGGTGACTGCTGCCATAAAAGTGAAACACAGGAAGTTGCCCTTGTACTGAGTCAGGCCATGGGCTCCAAGAGCTCAGTACTGTCTTCACTGACTGCCAATGGCCCTCCAGGGTCTCAGGCAGAGAAAAGTCTTTCCCAGCATCTGCTAGCTAACAACCTTTAACTGGAGACAGCAGGAATAACATGCCAAGTGAAAGTATCAAAGTCCATTAGTCTTTTGGTTAAGGTCTAGAAATTATCTGGCACCTTACATCACACCTACAAAAAATGAAGACGTGTGTATAATCTTCCTGTCTGTAAGTCCTGCTTTTCTTCTCCTGATAGTTACTTGTAGGGGTGCTATGATGCCGTGATAAGTTTTAGAGAAATTCGACAACAGTGTGTTCATCTTGGCTGAGAAAGTGGCTGAGGATGCTATGTCAAAAGAGGGCCAAGCAGCTGCCATGTGCTAGTACAACATTTTATAAGAACATGTATGTTTCAAAATACTAACAGAAACTGAACCTGAAAACATATAACATTGGTCATCACATCTCTGACACCCATAAAGCCTTCCAAATATAGTTCAAGAAAGTTTCCCATTTTACTACTTTAATCATATTCGAACAATATAACACTTTGTATTACAATAAATTACATGGCTCCCAGAGAAAACAATAAAGGTATTAAAATGTTTGAGCTAGACTCATCCCCAGTGCAATTTCATCAACAGAATCACACTAATAACTGCCCTGACCTGGATAGCGCAGGCAAGCCTGATCTTGTCAGATCTCAGGAGCTAAGCCACCTCTCTGAAACATCTAAACCCCACTAGGGGTTGCCAGAAGTCGTCATGACTTCCAGGCGTGCTAGCACATACACACTCACACAAATACCCACCAAAAAATCATGCTAATAAGCTTGGAGCCAAAGAAAGTTTTTAATTTGTATTTCACAGATCCTACCTTATTTGTTCCTTTAAAAGTAAAACTAGAAGGAAACTCAGCTGTGTCAAGAACCTGCGATGCTAATCCTGGCTGGTCACCATAGTAAAGCCATGGAAGGTTCTGTCTCCTGTGAAAAGCAAGATAACGTTTACTGCAGCCGACATTCCTGTGATTAGTTTACATAAGGTAGGAATCTAGGAAATTTTTATCCCACCCTTTCTCGAAGGATCTCAGAGCAATGTACACTGTTCTTACTTCCCCATTTTACCTCTGCAGCTGTCCTGTACTGTAGATTAGAGTGAGAGTGTACAACTTGCCCAGGGTTACCTAGCAAATTCCCCAGCAGTGTGAGGATATGAACCTACGTCTCCCATATCCTACTTTGACATGGTAATCGCAACATGTTATTAGGATTTGCAAGTCAAAAGAATATAGAGTGAGACCACATACCAAAAGGATATTGAATGAACAGTCCCGAGTCCAGCAGTATTTGCAAAGACATACTGAAAAAGGCCACATGCATCAGTGCTGGCAGAGCTCAAGCAATTCATGTTCATTACACACATATTTCCAAGTGCTTGGCAAGATGTTATGTTGGCATACAGCTGCCAGGAAACAAGCCAAAGACAATTATTTATCAGAAGACCATTAAAGTATTTAAAAATGGAATACATGTGCAATTTTAGAAATCTATTTTCAGCACTCTTTTTTTTGGTCTATTTTGTCACTATAGTCATTCACTTAGTGAACATGTGCCTGGCACATTAATGACCATATATTACATTTTACTTCTGACTTGTTTTAGATGACTTAGAAGTAACATTGGAAAATAAAAATTCCTAATCTTTAGTGTTAAATATAATTTCATGTTCAAATTTGTAAGAGATTCAAGTTATTTTTCTAAATAACATGAAACAACAAAGGCATGATCCAGCCAAATATAAGAATTTTAGAGTCCTAGTAACTTGAATTGGGGAAATTTAAGCAATTGCCCCAAACATGCACCTCTCTAACCACTTATTTCTGCCCTCTCCAGGTTACACCTACTGTAATCAATAGAATTATTGACATGTATGTTAGCATCAGGATTTAAGAACACTGACTCTCAAATGTTGCATAAATTATGAATGGGAGTTTCTTCCCAGTAAGTATCTTTGTGATGTGAAGCTGAGTAAGTTGTCAGGCACATTTACTTTACACATATTCCATCACATGGCTACATTCAGATCAGTGGCAGGTTAAAATACATGCACAAAACACGAAGCCTGAAACATGGGGCTACATTTTCCACATGAACCCATTTAGATTGTTATCAGTGCCATTTAAGCAGAGGTGCAGCCTTCTAAATCCACTGAAAACAATGGGTTTAGGATGGCAACTGAACAAAAGGCCCTGCTCAGTATTCTGGCAGTGTTGATTATGTGGGACTAAGATGACAGGTGGTGGTTAAAATGACCTTGCATACCAGGGTATTTGGGTAAACCAGTTTTTGAGTTTAGCTGATGATGTTAATTAGAGTCACTCCTTAATTAAGAACACTCCTAATAGACCTTCTTTGATTCCTGTCGACTTCATCTTGAATATTTTAATTTTGTTCAGTTCATCACTCAGTATTGCTTAACTGTACCAAGATGGGTAGGCACGTTTAGTTTGTCTATAGCAATAGAAAAGAGCAAGATATCTGAAGAAGTGAACAGTGACTCACAAAAGCTCATACCCTGCCATTAATTTTGTTACTCTTTAAGGTGCTACTGGACTCTTGCTCTTTTTAAAATCGTTTAATATTAGATTGTTGGCTGTTTGTAAGCAAAAAAGCAAGGTAGAAATCTCTTTAAGGAACTACATATGCCATGATGAATCCATGTACTGCAACCTCTGGTTGCTGCTTCTCCACTGCAAAACAATGTGTGATTTGCAGCAGTGAAAGTAGCAGATACAGGAAGGATCCTTATCCCTTTCTTCCCGCTCCCACTTCACACTGCTTTGCAGAGTTGCAGAGAAACTGTAGTTGGCATTTTGGTACTCAGTGTCCGGCCTCGGACTCAATAAAACTACTGTAGTTGGCATTTTGGTACTCAGTGTGCCAATGAAATGTTCCGGCCTCGGACTCAATAAAATTCAAAAATTATAGGTCCATTTATTAGTTATCCAATTTCAAGAGGAAACGCTTATACCAAACTTACCAAGCAAGCAGCTGCTGATGCCTGCAGGTTTTTCAGAAACCATGCTGATATCAAGGTAATGCCCTGTAAATAAGAACAAAAGCCTAACTGCAATTAATCTATCCTAATGTTTGCCATTGTCCACATCTGCATAGCGCCCCTGGTATTCCTTGAAGGTACTCCTTGGAGGTCTCCCATCCAAATACTAACTGGGGCTAACACTGCTTACCTTCTGAGATCTGATGAGATCGGGCTAGCCAGGTCAGATTCATCATTATATCTCCTTTAAAGAACAGTGGCAACTGCACTGCCTGTCTTTTTGTCCTTTATGACTAGGAACAAATTCAACCTGTGCTGCATCAGCTGCACTGGCTTCCAGTGGAGTACTGGGTCGGGTTCAAGGTTTTGGTACTGACCTTCAAGGCCTTGAGAGGTCTGGGTCCCACATATCTGCAGGACCAACTCCTCTGGTATGACCCCCAAAGAGCCTTATGCTCTGCTGAGAATAACTTACTGGTGATCCCTAGCCCAAAAGACATCCAGCTGTCCTCAACCAGAGCCAGGCTCTTTTCAGCCCTGGCTCCCACCTGGTGGAACTCTCTGCCAAATAACATCTGCACCCTGAGGGACCTGGTGCAGTTCTGCAGGGCTTGCAAGGCAGAGATGTTCCGCCAGGCTTTTGGTTGAGGACAGCAATGGGTACCATCCTATTTCCCCTCCCCCATCCTGCTTTTTCTTCTCCATCTATTTGTGAGATAGTAATTTGTAAATTGTTTTTAGCGCTATCTGAAAATCTTTTTAGCTCTGTTAATTCTTTGGATTTTAAATTGTATAGATTTTCTGTTGTTAACCGCCCTGAGAAAGGCGGTTTATAAATCAACCTTCTAACCAACTAAATAAATAAACATCTTCTGAAGAACACTTGTGATGAGGCATATTAAGGGCTTGAGAAAAAACTTACAAGCTTTCCAAAACGTACAGTTGTGATTCCCTTTGGAGGAAGATTTCCAGTGGCACTAAAACATAAACCTCCTGTCTGAAAAGATAAAATTAATAATAAATATTTGAAGCAAAAAGACCTACTTTTAAAGATATACCATTTATCTTCTATGCTATTGTATTGTACTTACTGAAATATTTGGTTCAGAACAATGGCATGACCTGCTTACACTGATAAACGTTGGTTCACATCTGATGCACCTACAAATGACAAGATAAACATGAATAATATAAAGAAACCACTGCAGAAGGTTAATTATGGGATTTGAACCAAAGTCAAACAACCTTTAGAACAGGTTATAATGGCCACTAATGCCAATTTCCTATTTAAATGTATTATAAACAATGCATTGGCATTCATGGTTAGTCTAGATACTGCACCAGCATAAATCAGTGCTGCTACATCAGTACTAAATGCCATACACAGAAGGACACTGATTAACTCTTCATTGCTTTTGCAAACTTAAAAAAGTTAAAAACAACAACAAAAGCAACATAAGACAGAGAAAACCTAGCTAAACTAGATAGGAATTTCCAAGGACATCTGAATCACTTTAAAGCAGGATTCCAAATGTTTATAATAGAATTGTCTCTCACAGGCAACACAGCAGAACAGACCTGCAATGCACAAAGTACTCTATTTTTTATGCTAGCAATGCTTATCTAATGATAGGGATGACAGGGCATGACACAGAAGACATGAGGAAGCTACCAAAAACAGTATTCCAACATAAGGTTTTATAATATAAGATTAAAACAAACTGTAGCAAGATAAGGGTTTTTGATAATTCCCACATCCAAACTTTCATTAATCAAAACTGGATCAAGCTTTAGGAAAAATTATACTATGTAGCTATTCAATACAATCTCCCATCTTCCTTCATCAGCAGTAACTCATGAAATTTATTAAACATAGAACAGCCATCTTATTATTATTCAAAATATAGACATATAAACTAAGTTTTGCACTTCAGTTCCAAGGTTTTTAATTATTATTATAATTATTGATTGGATTTATACCCTGCCCTTCACTTGGAGTCTCAGAGTGGCTTACAAACTCCTTTCCTTTCCCCTCCCCACAACAGACACCCTGTGAGGTAGGTGGAGCTGAGAGAGCTCTTTCAAGAACAGCTCTGACAGAACTATGGCTCACCCAAGGTCATCCAGCAGCTGCATGTGGAGGAGTAGGGAATCAAACCCGGTTCTCCCAGACTACAGTCCATGAACTTAACCACTACTCCAAACTAGCTCAATGCCACTTACAATTTTGTCATAGTCCTTACCAATAAAATATTTCTTACTAGATAATGGTCTTCAGAAAACCAAATCATGATTTAGATGCAATAACAAACTATGATTTCCTGCAAAAGTATAAATGATTGATTTCCAACAGCAGACCATTCAGGTGCTATAAAACTCTCCACTGTTTTTGTTACAACAAAGAAATATATCTACTCCTCCAGAATTTATTTTTGGGCCATTTCCTCTTCTTCTTTGTATTAAGTAAGAGATGTGAACAAGATGCAGTTTAACAAGGATAAGTGCCGAGTTCTAAATCTGCCCCCTTCCAACTCTGTGATTCTATGATTTGTCAATCATGTTTCCAATCCCAACGCTGTACAAAGTACCAGTTCATAACAACAAGACTACTTACATGTTACCTAGCACATTTGATGCCGCAAACGATGTCTCTGTTCCTTCACACTGAACACATGATGCAGCATCCAATAATGCACCATTAATGGCTCTTTCCACTAAATATAAAAAAATTGTGGATATGAACAGTAATATAACATGCAATACCTCTTAGGCCACGTGAACATCTGGAATTTAGCAAAAACGTTTTACACATTTATTTTGCATTGCCTAAAACTCATACATCACAATTTGGAAAGCTTAGCTGGGATCCATGAGATTACTCATGTTATTCTGTATGCACATTTATTTATTTATTTATTATTTATATTTATACCCCGCCCTCCCCGGAGGCTCAGGGCGGCTAACAACATATAATTCATAACACAGTAAAACAGTAAAACAATACAAAATATTAAAATTACATCATAATTTATAACCTATCTAAAACAAATCTAGCTAAAACCAAGATGGCGGTCCTCTAAGCGTCCCAGTCTTGCCCATAATGCAAAAGAAAGTATTTAGGGCTTTGGCAATCCATGCCCATATCCAGATGTTCTCCCGGGCGTCGATGGTATACTGATGCATTGGTGGTCTAGTGGTGGCGGCGCCGAAAACGCCCTATTCTTGGTCATGGTTAATTTGATGGACCGGGGGCCGGTACCTCCAATAGGTTCCGGCTCCCCGACCGTAGTGCCCTTGGGGGAACATGTGGGGTAAGGCGGTCCCTTAGGTAGGCTGGTCCCTGGCCATATAGGGCTTTAAAGGTGATAACCAGCACTTTGAAGCGAACCCGGTACGCTATTGGCAACCAGTGCAGCGCTTTCAGCACAGGCTGGATGTGATCTCGTCTAGGAAGATCCATCAGCAGCCTGGCTGCAGCATTCTGCACTAGTTGCAGCTTCCGAATTTGCGACAAAGGCAGCCCCATGTAGAGAGCGTTGCAGTAGTCTAACCTTGAGGTGACCGTCGCGTGGATCACCGTGGCCAAGTCAGTCCGGACGAGGAAGGGAACCAACTGCCTTGCCAGCCGAAGATGGTAAAATGCCGACTTGGCAGTGGCCGCTACCTGGGCCTCCATCGTTAGTGAGGAGTCCAGGAGCACCCCCAAACTCCTAACCTCCGACGCTGGCACCAAAGGCGTCCCATCGAAGGCCGGGAGAGGAAGCCCCAACCCCAAACCGATCCGACTCAGCCCCAGGACCTCCGTCTTTGCCGGGTTTAATTTCAGCCGACTCAGCCTGAGCCACCCAGCCACAGCCTGTAACGCCCTATGCAAGTCATCTGGAGTGGAGTCCGACTGGCCGCCCAACATCAGATATAGCTGGGTGTCATCAGCATATTGATGGCAACCCAGCCCACAACTCCGGGCAATCTGGGCAAGGGGGCACATATAGATGTTAAACAGCATCGGGGATAGCACTGCCCCCTGAGGAACGCCACATTGGGATGTTCTAGGCTTGCCTTTCCTTTCATAGCCTTTGATCAACAGCAAATGCCACTTCTTAAAGACTGGAGACCCTCTGGATTGATATTCCATGTGGCATGAAGGGGTGCACTCGGAAAATTGTTTGCTTTCCCCAAACACTCATGAAAACACTTTGTGCACATTCACAGGTCTCTCTGAAACCCAACTGTTATCCTGCCAATTCAATGCAAATAGGCCTCACTAATGGGCACCAGCAATCAGGTCACAGAATAATTGCCATATGCAGGGGCTATAGCTCAGAGACAGAGCAATCCTTTGCATACAGGAAGTTCAAGGTTAAAACCCAGCCATTTCCTTAAAAAAAAGTCAGCTAGCAAGCTCTGCCAAGATCCTGATGAGTTTCTGTCAGCTATAGCATTTATTATTTACTTCTTTTATACCCCACTTTTTGCCCAGGTGGAGACCCAAAGCCACTTGCATCATTTTCCTTCTTCTGGTCTATTTTATCCTTGCAATGACCCTGCCAGTGCCCAGCCCAAGGACACTCAGCAAGTTTCCATGGGAGAATGCAGACTTGAACCTGGGTCTCCCAAATCCCAGTTCAACATTCTAACCACACTGATTAGTAAACACAGAGACCAATAGTCAGACTTAGTAAGGCAGCTCAAGATATTAATTTGCTCAATTTGTTCTTGTGACCATTCCATTATTGACTTTTTGAGCATGATGAAACATTTTGGCTGAAACAGAATGGTTGTAGAGACAAGTTACTCCAAGTACAGCTGAGTATCTCTACTCCAACACAGCATGCTATGTAGTATTGGTAAAGCAGAGACAAAACAAGGGCACCAGAAAATTAGTATGATTTTTGTTGCATTTAGTACATGTGAAAAGACAGGAAATCTTTGATATGGCTTTCTCTGTTAGGAAAATCAGATATCAAGAAGAACAACTGCATAAAGTTCTTACCTAAAATCTCATTAGCAGCACATTTACATTTTCCTTCAGCAGTTACACCTTTAGGGCAAGCAATGCAGTTCCATCCATCTTGAGTGACTCCACTCTAAATAAAAGATTAAAATATTTTAAATCTCACTGCACTTCATGGCACCTTAAACCCAGCTCTTTGTTGGCTTTATTCTTACTTCCAATATAAAAATAACAGCCCAAGGAGAATCCACTTATTTCACCTTAAGAAATGAGCTCTTATCTGCAAAAGCTTTTGCTGAAAAAAAGTCTAATGATGTTACTTTGTACAGTGATACAAGACTCCTCTATATTTTTGCTGGAACAGTTAACATGGTTACTGCTCTGGAAGAAGTGCGCAGTGACTCACAAAAGCTCATAACCTGCCACAAATTTTGTTAGTCTTTAAGGCACTACTGGACTTAGTCTTTAAGGTACTACTGGTACTTGCTCTTTTCTACTGCTACAGACAGACTAGTACAGCTATCCATCTTGATTTATATAGAAAAGTTTTCCATTGTATACAATAAAAGCTTGCTTACTGCAAGCACAATATTACCTTATTTTCTGGACATTTTTCACAGGTAATGGAAGTGCCACCATTATCAGAAACCAACTTGAATCCTGGTAGACAGGAACATGAAGTACCTGAAAGTATGCAAAAATTGTTGTCTCAACTGCTACAAACTATAACTAAAATATTAAACTTATAAGTAATTTATTAATACAGTGCATGATTTTAGAAACAACATATTTCTGAGATTAAAAATTGATTTATGCCACAACCAGTGTTCCCTCTAAACTGAGTTAGTGTGAGCTAGCTCACAGTTTTTTAGCCTCTGGCTCAAACATTTTTGTCTTAGCTCAGGAAGGATGGCTCCAAAGCAAACTGAATTATGCAGTAGCCAAATCGCTCGCTCCCAACTTTAATGCCAGTAGCTCACAAAGTAGAATTTTTGCTCACAAGACTCCACAGTTTAGCGGGAGCATTGGTCACAACCTTAACTATGCATACACGAAAATGATCTCTGCTGAAACTAATAGAACATCTCTATATAATAATAACAACAAAGATATGCCATAAGTTATACTCGATAGCAGGGTCTCGGTTAATTACTCTCAGCATCCCACAGTTAAGAAGGGTACATCTGCCCATCAATGTCTGATTCTAGTATATTTCCTTCACTGACGCCCCCCCAACTAAATCCAAACAAATGGTGACCGTATAAACTAAGCTTGTTATTCCAGCTTGGTCCTTGCATGTGTTAAACACCTTTATTATGCTGTATGCTTATTTGCTGCTCACCTTCTACCTATATGTATGGACTGGCAACTTCCATTTCAATGTATATGAAGAAATGTGCAGTCACACAAAAGCTTAGACCTTGAATAAAATTTTGTTGGTCTTAAAGGTGGCACTGAACTCAAACTTTGTTCTGCTGCCTCAGACCAACATGGCAACCCATACGAATCTATAAAAATGATCATCATTATAATGAGAAAGCTGAGTGTGCATATATACGTTTGTGAGAGTCCCTTGGACTTCAAGGAGATCAAATCAGTCAACCCTAAAAGAAATCAACCCTGACAGTTCCCTGGAAGGCCAGATACTGAAGCTGAATCTCAAATATTTTGACAACCAAATGAGGAGCACTCACTGGAGAAGACCCTGATGCTGGGAAAGATTGAAAGTAAAAGAAGAAGGGGACGGCAAAGGATGAGATGGTTAGACAGTGTTATAGATGCAACGAACATGAAATTAAGCAAACTCCGGAAAACAACAGAAGCCAGGAGGGCCTGGCGTGATGTGGTTCATGGGGTCGCGAAGAGTTGGACTCAACTGTGTGACTGAACAACAGGTATATACACACAGCCATCATTTTGTCTTTAAGTGATGCCATCACTTTAGAAGATCATTACATACAACCCTTGTCTGTATGTATAAATGCATGGAGGTATAACCTAAAAACAAACTATGCTCACCCCATAACGTTTTCCCCCAATGCAAATTTAATCAGTAGACTAGCAGCAGGAGTTTTTAGTCAATCACCTATTACTGTTATGTACAAAAAAAAAACAAAAAACCCCATCCTAGAAGCAAAGGAAAGCAGTTTTGGCTTTAGGTGACACATCATCTTAAAACACCAGTACACATGCGTGTGATCCTCAGAGCACCTGGAACATAAAATCTGTCCTTTATATATAAGTAAGGAGAGCATCGTGAATTGCAGAGAATGTGAAGTGAGGCTGCACTGCTGTATAACCTCGCTCAGGTACTAAACCGTTTTTCTTTCAAACTCTCGCCTGTCTCTCATACAAAATGACTGACTAACATGTTTGTTCCTTGCGAACTATTAAAAGAAACCGGCTGTCAGGGCCTCCCGAACCTGTCCCATGAGTGGCACTGAAGGGGGCGACCCTAAACAAGACCGCCGCCGAGACCGCCTCACCCTGCGCGCTCTTCCTCTGGGATGATCCGCACTGGCCGCAAGCCAGGCTGGCGATGTCGAAGTACTGGGTCCCGTCACAACTCTGGGGCTCACGGAACAGCAGGGAGGAACTCTGGGCGTCCGAAAACCTCACGCGGAAGGCTACCCCGAGGACCACCATGCCTAGCAGACGCCTCGCCGTCGCCATGGTTACGATGGCCACCGCGCCACCCACCCTCAGCAGGGCGCAGCGGTTTGCCCGCTTTATAGGCGGGACTAAAACTCTCACCGACGGGGAGCCGGAGGGACTAAAAAAACCTCTAGGAGAGCCGTCTTTGTTTTTGCTCGATCGCACTCAGGGGAAACAGGAGGAGGTAGCAGCAGCAAAGGTTCGTTTACATCCTCTTTTTATAAGCCCATCCTCTTAAGTTATTAGCTAGACCACTCCAGGTCAGGGCAGAAATCATAGGGCCGTATAAAAATATTGAAACAAAGCGGATACCACAGCCTATGCTGCTTTACTCGGAAGTCTCACAGTGTTCTGCGGAATTTATTCCCAAATAAGTGTGCGCAGCCTTATTAAGATTATTAAGGTGCCACACCAGGCCCAAATGACCCGTAAACATTCTGATATTTTCCTCCAAGAAAATGATCAATTAAGAACATACACACGCACAAAAAAAATCAAAACCACACGTTATCACTTCGGTCCTATACAAAGGGTGGAAGGAAAGAAATGCAAGCGGAAAGCCCGCGTCAACTTTCCACACGGCCAACCACTACAACAAAACACCCATTCTTTTCAGTAAAGCGGAACCATTCGTTGAGTTTTTCACGCACGCGTAGTCACTACCGGAAGATATGTCACACACGCAAAAAAACAACAACAACAAGGCCGTGCAGAGATTATTGGTGAAGGCTTGGGCGGTCGGCAGCGCGCGCATGCGTGTCACGAGTGGGTGACAAGCCCGAGCAGAGATTATTGGTGAAGGCTTGGGCGGTCGGCAGCGCGCGCATGCGTGTCACAAGTGGGTGACGGGTGGAAACGTCACTGCGGGCCAACGCGCGCGCTCTCTCTCGGTCGTCGAGGTGGCCTGGAAAGGGGATTGCTGCGCGGCTGCCATTTTGTTGCTTGCGGAAGGGCTTTTCCCCGTGGAGTGGTGCCGGCGGGAAGGAGAGCCGCTCTGCCACCGTCGTGCGCGGAGGGGAGAGGCTGTGGAGCTTGGCCTGTCGGAGCCGTAGCGCTTCGGACAAACGCATTGTTCGTTCCTCTGACGGCAGTCGCGGAGCCAAGGGTTTCTCCGGACTCCTCTCGGTTGCGGGCCTGGTTAGTAGAACAGGATCGTGCGTGTGTCGTTGTGAAAGCTGGTTGGCCTTCCGCCTGGGCAAATCCGATCCTGTGCACGCTTACTAGGAAGGAAGTTTCACTTAGTGCGGTGGGGACTCACTCCCGAGTAAGCGTGCGGAGGATTGTCGTCTGCCGCGTTCTCCTCTGGAGTCGCCCCTTCTTCGTTGTGATCCGTGGAGGGAGGGGGCCATGGCTGGGCGAGAACCAGCGACACTCCCTTCCGACTACCACCGACTTGTGGCACCACCCCCTATATAGGGGGTGGTGGTTGTGGCCGATCGGGAAGTCGGCCTGAGGCCAGTTGGTGGCTACAAAACGGAAAGCAGCAGCACATAAGCCCCCCCCATTTGCGGAAGGCATGCTAAGTAAATGTAGCCACATTGAGGCGATTTGGGATGTGTGTATTGGTGCGTGCAAAATGACGACTTGTGGAAGGAGGGGGACAACGAACCCCCTCGCTGAGGCTAGAAATTCGCTAACATGGATCATTTTAGTTTTCTGCTCTTCTGGAAGAAACTCATTCCTGTTCCCCAAGTAACAGAGTTCATTGTTCAGTTGGTTGGTTAATGGTAATTTCTTGGAGCACGCTGGATCTTCCGGAAGCTGTTTTCCCTAGGAGTGTATTGGATTATGCAGGATCTGTCATGTGAAAACGACAACGGATTTAAGGAAACACAAGCATCATCCAGAGCTGCATATATAAAATCTTTCTTGATGTCTCCCTTACAACTGCTGTGTGACATTACTCTCAACAAATATTCTCAAGCAGTAAGCTAACAGCACTTGATGCACCTGTCTGCGTTGCTCAGGAGAGTGGTTTGGAGGAAGCGGTTTTGTTGTCAGGCGTGTATTATGGCAGGATATTACAGAGTTCTACTGTGATCTCCTTTGTAGAGGGGGATATAAATGTATCTTGATGGACAGTGGTGCTGTGGGAAGAAATAGAGGTGGCACTTACAAGTTAACATGAATGCATTTTACTTAGTGAGAGTTACTGAGGAAATGCATTCAGGATTTGTTAAATGTAAGTAATCATAGCTGCAGATATGGTACCTCTTGCATTCAAGTTATTTTCAGAGTTTAAACACAGTGATATGGTTTAGTGTGTGGAATTCTTTTTTGTTTTGTAGAATTTTAGATCTTGCATAGGTCACCTGGAGGCTGTTCTGTTGCTTGAACTGATCATTGTGTTGGGGTGTACTAGCTTTTCTGTTGACCCAAGAGTGAGGAGAGATGCTTTTTGACACCCCGAAAGTGACACACTGGCAATGGTGCTTCTTGATTGGACAAAAAGCTATGTATACTGGGACTTCATTGAGGAGGGGAGTTGGGCAAAATTGCCCCTCTGGCACTCATGGAAAGTTTGTAGGAATCAAGCTTGTAAGATTTTATCCTGTCTTCCATGGAATTCAAGGTGGAGTTCATAGGGCTCCAAAGTGGTCTTCCATCCAGTCATGAAGAGATCCAGATCTGCTTCAGTTCCACGAGGTTCTGCATCATGTGCCTTTTCACCATGCCATGGGATCTGACTTTTCACATCATCTTCTTTGGGGTTTTGATAAAAATAAATACAAGTCTTGCCTATAGAGCTTATTAAGAATTCTGCCTAGGTTAATTGTTGTTAATGTAGTATTTTATTTGATACTGATTTTTGTGTACTTTTTTGCAATTCTTCTTTGCTGGATATGGATTTTTTAAAGTTTGGTGGTCAGAAAGTCTTTGCATTGGTTTATTATATGTATGTGTGTGAGAGAGTGAGAATTGTTCCTGCTGTATTTGAATCTTTTTGTGCATGGGGATATTGGCTAATTCTGTTGCTGTCAGTGGGGATTATGGATTTCAGAGGATAAGAAAGCAAGCTATAAAAAAAGCGAACCAGATTTGTCAGACTGTGAGAGAATTAATTCTCTGTGCAGAGTTTTAATGCCATTTTGGGGTGCTTATATGTGGTTGAAGGATCCCCCCCTTCAAGAATACAGTTGTTTAACTTCACAGTCCTTGGTCTTTTTTGTGTGCTGGAGACAAGGCACAGACCACTTGGATTCTAGTTGTTTGGTGGAACACATGTTCCACTTAAAAGATTTTGCTGGTGAAATATTAGACCAAGACTGCAATCCTGTGCATGCTTATTTGGGAGTAAGCTCTGTTGAAAGTGAGATTTTCTAGTATTCATGCATAGGATTGGATTGTGGATTTCTGCAATTTCCTGTCTTTGACCAATCAGGGAGTCATTTGGCAACTGTCATGCATATTTTTCAGGGTTTTTAAACTTTGTGATGCATTTAGGTCCTAGAGGATGGAAAGTTTTGGATTTTTGTGTGTGTTTCTAGTGGGATAACAAGCACTAGTAGGTAAACTGGAAAGAGCCTAATCTGTGTATTTTACTAGAATATCAGCATTGGGGATTTTAAAAAAACAGTTGCTGAACTATTATCTTCAGACATTTGATGGAAAATTCAACTGAAGTGAAAATCTTGCCAACTATTTTGAAAGCGTAAGGATTTTAGAAGAACTGGACATCTATTTTTATTTGGGACGTCATCTTTCAAGGATTACCAGTGCTGAGTGGGCTGTTCAATTTTCAGCTCTGTGTGGACCTATTGAAGACTACTCTTGGCATATTTCTGTCATTTACTGAAGTCATTTGTAATATTTGGATGTTTTAAAAAATGGATATACCAGCCAGCATGCTCTTCAGTTGACATTTTTCTTCTTTTTGTATATCCCTTGGAATGGGGATGCAACTTAGTTCAAGACCACCCACCAACATTTCTCTTTTCACTCGTTATTGTTGTTCATGGTTATTGAAATACCCTAGTAATGTGGCACAATATGTAAACCAAACTGTTTGTTAGCCATTAATTATGTTTCATTTTCTTTCCACAGTTAAATTGATTTCTCAGACTTTTATCAGGCCTACCAAGTGAAACAGGTAAGCTTCTAGAGCTTCACATTTGATATTGTTCTAGCTGATGGCCTTTTGTCACGTGTTTTTGCTGGGTGGAAGATACACAGTTGGATATCTTAATCATAGGCAATCGTAACAGAGTTGAAGAATGGCTGAATTTGGTTCATTATTCTGTTGGTAGATCATGATGTCTGAAAATCCAATGGAAATTCCATGTTGGTTTTGGTAAATTTATGAGATTTTTTCTTGGTCATGAGTATTTCTAGGCTTTTTGATATTGGGTGGCAAGAATGCAAGGCCAGAGTTGTCCTGTGTTTTAATCTCTATATGGACGTTCTGACAAGCTATAACATATGATAGAAATGTTTTTAAATACCTTATCGCAGATAGTCGATATTACTGTTTGGGAATGGTGACGTAACAGTGTAAAATTTCAGATGGAATCATTACTTGTTCTAAGTTTCAGTGTAAAAAATAGGTGCCTTGTGATTATGTACACAGGAGGGCTTTTTAAAACAAATTGCTTACTTTGATCAAGGTTAGGATATCTCTTTGGAGAGGTACATCTTGAGGTATAGCTCTTATATTTGCAGGGTACTAAAGGTTTGCTATCATGTATACCTTTCTGTCCACAGGTGATTATTGCTGTGAGTTGAGCTCAGAATGGCAGTAGTCATCCGTTTACAGGGGCTTCCTGTTGTTGCGGGTTCTGCAGATATTCGCCGTTTCTTCTCAGGATTGGAAATTCCTGATGGAGGTGTACATATCATTGGAGGAGAAAAAGGGGAAGCCTTTATTATCTTTGCAACAGATGAAGATGCACGACAAGGAATGAGCTTTTCAGGAGGATTTGTCAAGGATTCACGTATTGAGCTTTTCCTCAGCAGCAAGACTGAAATGCAGCATATAATAGACGTTAGTCGAAACAGATCTGATCACGGTGGGAGAGAGACAGGAACTGGGTCTAGATGGGCAGGTTCTAGTAATTCAGGAGCTGGGAACCTTTCAAACCTAGTTGCAGCGATTAAAAAAGGAATTGGAAAATCCAGCTATGGTTCCCTGGATCACGTGGAGGATGACTTTCATTCCAGTGGTTCTCATAACAGTGATACAGAGGTTTCAAAATCAATTTCTAATCAGTCCAAGAAAGAGTCATTTAACTCGGAAAATGTGTACGTGTTTCTTCGTGGGTTGCCTTACACAGCATCAGAAGATGATGTCCTTAATTTCTTCTCAGAATTGCAAGTGGAGGGAGTGATCCTGTTACAAAATGAGAATGATCTACCAAGTGGTGATTGTGTGGTAAAATTTGCTACACCAAATGATGCCGTGAAAGCACTGCAACGTAATCGGGAGTATATGGGTTTAAGATATATAGAAGTACGTCCCTCTAATAAAGGAACATGGTTTAAGTACAGTAGAAGTGGAGATGAGCAAATGGATAATTCTTTCAAAAGCTTTGCTCAGTTAAATGAGGAAAGTTCTCCAAGCAGAGAATATTCAAGAAGAGAATCAAATTACATGCCTGCAAGACAACAGTCACATTCAAGGACTCCTCCAAGGAGACATGTAGCACGCTCCCGTTCACCGTCTGCTCCAAGGAGATATTTGGCACACTCTCATTCAACGTCTCCTTCAAGGAGATATTTGGCACACTCTCGTTCACCGTCTGCTCCAAGGAGATATTTGGCACGCTCTCGTTCACCGTCTGCTCCAAGGAGATATTTGGCACGCTCTCGTTCACCGTCTGCTCCAAGGAGATATTTGGCACGCTCTCATTCAACATCTCCTTCAAGGAGAGCTGTGGTGCATTCCCGTTCAGGCTCTCTTCAGAGGACAGCTGCGGCACGCTCCCGTTCACCTCTCTCCCATTCCACCCTGCCTCATTCATCAAACAGTACGGAGTTTTATATACATATAAAAAATCTGTCACCTGCTGTTGAGAAAAGAGATTTGAGAGTATTCTTCAGAGAGCTAGATATAACTAACCGTGACATTACACTTTTAAAGTCAGATAGTAACTATGAAAAAAAAAGGGAAGCGTTTGTGCTGTTCAGATCATTCAGCGAATATCAGACTGCACTGAAGTATCACAAGGAGAATCTTTTTGGTCAAGCAGTTCTCATTTTCCCCACTTCTAAAAAATCAATTTTGCAAATCATTGAACCTTCAGGAAGTAAAAGATCATCAGAAAGGCATCACCATGCAAAGGAAAAAAGGGATGGATATGCTGGCCAAAAGACTTGCGTATATGTAAGGAACTTTCCATTCGATGTGACAAATGTTGAAGTTCAGAAGTTCTTTGCAGGATTTAATATTGATAACAGTGACATACATTTGCTTTATGATGACAAAGGAATTGGATTGGGAGAAGCACTGGTCAAATTCAGATCTGAAGATCAAGCCCGGAAAGCCGAGAGTTTAAATCGTCGACGGTTTTTGGGAACAGAAGTACTACTAAGGTGTATACCTGAGGAGCAAATGCAGGAATTTGGAATTCACATCTCATCAATGTCTAGTGAAAAAATGCAGGCTCACCCCCATGCACATGCCAGAAGTGAACATTTTTATGCAGGTGGTTCTCAAGGGCCAGCAGCGCAGGGAAACCTAAAGCATCCGTCTGATTATAGATGTTCTGATGACTTCCTGTGCTCACCTGATCGTTTTAGAGGTCCTCCATCTTTTCCAGATTTCCACAGTGAAGGTAATCCTGGAGGTTTCCCTGAGGGGCACTTTATGCCCGACTCTAATTTCCGTGGTGGTTCTGATCGCGTCACACTGATCAAAATGAAGAATATACCATTTCGAGCGACTCCTAATGAAATTCTGGATTTCTTCCATGGCTATAAGATCATACCAGAATCACTTTCTATTCATCACAATGATTATGGATTGCCTTCTGGAGAAGCTACCCTTGCTCTGGTGAATTATGATGAGGCCATGGCAGCTGTTAATGAATTGAACGACCGGCCATTTGGCCACCGCAAAGTTAGGCTAACCTTAGCATAGATGAAAATGTGCTGAAGAAGAAAATAAAATACAGTTACAGTATTACGTTAGAGCCAGACTTGCATTTTTATTACTGAGAAATGGGGGGCAAAACCCCTTAAAATGTTTGTAAATAATTTTACATCTAGTTTAAATTTTATATTTTCCTCCCTGAACTTTAGGGGAGTTTTGGACAGCATTCGATCATTTCAATAGTTCTAACACACTGACTTGCCAAGTGTGTATCTATGTGTATGGCTGTATATATTTTACAGCATATTTAAATATGCTGTTTTGCTAATCTGCATTTTCCGAGCCATTAGTCAGCAAGCTTTAAGTCCCCGCTCTAAATACTACGAACATGCTAGTTGTATGAGTTTAAGTCCCGCTCTAAAACTACAAACATGCTAGTTGTATGAGTTTATCTTCTCGCCCATTGTTACATTCAACGGCAAGTTAAATTCTAAGTGTTTTGGTAATGTCTCCTCCACAGTTCTTTAAAAATAAATTACATTAATTGAAATATATGGTTGGTTATTTGTATATCTGATGGATCATTGCAAACTTTTGAAATTGAAAAATCATTGCCAGTATGTACCTGTATGGTTGGTGAGGTACTTGCTGGGGCAAAATAAAATACATTAGCTTGGATTCTAAGCACGTGTGGAGTCATGTTTGAGAGGTAGGCAATTTCCCTGCCTCCCCCTCCAGCACACCATGTTGCCTGAAACTGTGCTTCTTTGGGTCAATGCACCACCAGAAACAGTGTGTGCGGGGTCTACAGTGGGAAGGAGGAATCTGCAAAGATTGCCCCTCCCTCCACCACAAACAGAAATAATCATTCTGTTAGCAGAACTGTTGTTATGAAAATGGAATTGCTGATTAGGATCCATGTGATACTACTTAAAGATAAGAGGGCACTGAAAATGACTTTTCTTTCCCACTAAAGGAATGGCTTGCTCAGAACCAGGAAGATCTTAATAAGTTATTTCTAAGTGACAAGGTATTTTGATTCTGGAAGAGAAGCAGTGTTAATTGATATTGGTCAAAAGGACCAAGATAGGTGCTTTCATGTCTGTTCAAGTAACAGTGGCTAGGAATGGTTAACTTTTTGATTCTTTAACAAATGAATGGAGTGTTTTATAAGGAGCTTCCTAGAAATTCAGCCTTCCACTGATTTGGGGGGAGGTGAGCCTCTTCATTATGCTCCTTAAATAGTGAGCTGTACCATTATCTGTAATAAATTCTGAGGGCTGTGCTTCAATTTTGTTATCTTTATACTATTTAGCATAGATCCTACCACAAAGGGTGTGGCTTTAGTTTATTTCAAGGAAGAACTAAATATATGACACAATCGCCTGATTTGTCAGGGTTTATTTCTCTCCCTTTTTGGCTTTCAGCATCGTTTTGAAATTGTCAGTGTAACAGTTCTGCCCAGCTCCCTAGTGGGATATTCTCACTCTGGCAGTTGGCCGCCAGGTGAGTGCGTGAAATGCAGCTAGCTTGGAGACTGGGGTAGAAGCCATTCCTTTACTCCCCAACTCTTTTAAAAGCAGTGTTTGGAGCTTCCTACTGATAGTCTGTTACCACTTCTTGTTTCTTTGACTTCCCCTACTCCTGATACAGCAACCCAGGGGCAATGTTCCTTCTAAGCTGTGGAGTCTAGTGAGCAAAAATTCTACTTTGTGAGCTACTGGCATTAAAGTTGTGAGAAAGCGATTTGGCTACTACATAAATTAGTTTGCTCTAGAGTCATCCTTCCTGAGCTAAGACAAGAATCTGTGAGCTGGAGGCTAAAAAACTGTGAGCTAGCTCACATTAACTCAGCTTAGAGGGAACACTGCTCGGGTGTGTTTTCATGTGGTGTTTGGCAAGCAGGTCTCAGCTAGGGATTCCCAACTTTTTTAAAATTTAATTTAATTTATTTTTAACAGAAATTTTTATTCAGGATATAAACATACATATTCAACATTTCATTTTCTCTGTTTATCCCCTTAACGTTTGACACTCAATTTTCTATTTTTTCCCCTGTTACATCCTGCCCCCTCCCTTTCCCCTCCCTTATATATGGCTTCCCGCAGTGCTTTGACCTCCTGTTCTATACTTCTGTTCCCTTTTCCTTTTCCCACCACCTCTTTACTTTAAATCACTAGGTAACTCTTATTTTATAGTATCAATTATTTCTGTTCATAATCTAGCTTTCAGATAACTCTATCTTTAATAGTTATTTTCATTATAGCAATTATTTCTACTCATTATATACCTCTCAACTAACTCTTAATTTAATAATTGTTAAAGCAAAACAGATTGTCTTTTATTTCCCAGTATTTTTCTAAATAGTCTTTTAAGTCTCTCCAGTCATTATAAAATTCTTCTGCTTCCCTATTATTTAATGTTCTTGTCATTTTATCCATTTCAACTGCAAACAATACCGTATTTTTCACACCATAAGACGCACTTCCCCCCCCCAAAAAAAGTGGGGGGGAAGTGTGTGCGTCTTATGAAGTGAATACTGCTTTCTCTCCCCCCCCCCCCCAACCCCACGGAGCCCATGGGAGGGCTTGAAGACTTCCATTTTAAACAACACAGGTCCATAAAGCATATAAAAACGAAAGTAAACCAAGAGCTCCAAGAGGACCAAACTAAATCACACAGAAATTAAGGGAAGAGCAGACTGTTCCATTGGGGGGGTGGGGAAGAAGGCTGAACAGGGCTTGGCTGTGGGGGGGTGCTGAGGATCTGTGGCTCTCTGCCTTGTCTCTGGAGATTTGTTTGCTGCTCTTTGAACTTCTCTTATCTTTTGAGTGCATTGAATGACTTGTGCCTTCTTCCTGGAAAGCTGCGAATTTCTCTCCTTTGGAACTAGGGGCAGGAAATCACTGCTTGCTTGTGGGTCTAGATGTTGGGATTCATGCTACCTCTTTTGCCC